TCCCAAGTGCTGGGATTAAAGGCGTGTGCCACCAACGCCCGGCTTGCTTTTTTTAAATATAAGAACTAAGATTCTGTGATACCATTGAGCAAAGGTTTTTTTGACCATGTATTCTAAATATTTCCAAAGTGACTAAAGGCGTTGATATCAATTCATTGATTTTTCTTTAAAATTTCTCTTTTTAGTTTAATTGTATGTATGTATGTATGTATGTATGTATGTATGATGTATGATGTATGTATTATGTATGTATTATGTATGTGTATGCCTGGTGCCAGAGAAGGCCAGAAGAGGGTGTTAGATCCTCTGGAACTGGAGTTTTATGGTTGTAAACCACCATGTGGGTGCTGTGGGCTAAGCCCAGGTCCTCTGCAAGAGCAATACATGCACTTAGTTTCTGAGCCATCTCTCTAGCCCTTAATTTTTTTTTTTTACTTTAGTATTTAACTCCTATGGGAGTTCTTGTCATGTTTCTTTCTGGGCTTGGTCATTTTCTTATTTTTTTTCTGTTGTAGGTTGCCAGAGTAGTTCTGTTTAGATCCCTTGGAGTTAGAATTTTGATGATTTTGAGCCATGTGGGTACTGGGAACTAAACCTGGGTCCTCTGCAGGAGCAACTGCTCTTGGCAGCTGAGCCAATCTCAGGCTCCCTTATTTATTTTATTTTTTTTAAAGACTTAACCTGTTCACCCATCCATCCATCCGTCCATCCATCCCTCATGTATGCATTGTTCTGCCTGCATGTATCACTGTAGGTCAGAAGAGGACACCAGATCTCATTATAGATGGTTGTGAGCCACCATGTGGTTGCTGGGAATTGAACTCATGAACTCTGAAAGAGCAGGCAGCACTCTCAACTCCTGAGCCATCTCTCCAGCCCCCCTTAATTTTTTTAAAATGGAAAAAGTTGTGTGTGTGTATGTTTGCATTCCTCAGCATTTGTGTGGAGGTAGAGAACAACTTGGAGGAGTTGGTTCTCTTTATACCATGGGTCCCTGCAGTCAAACTCAGGTCACTGCAGCAAATGGTTTTACCTGCTAAGCTGTCTTGCCAGCCTCTAATTGATTTCTTTAGGTAGCCCTGTTTTTATGTCAAGCTTATTGATCATCAGTAGTCTCAGGTCAGTTTTTACAAATTACTCAGGCTTTTCACTGTTGGTATCTTTGTTGTTTTATAACTTAACATTATTTGAATTAGTATTTGATTAAGCAGTTATAGCATATCACAATTTATTTCCAAGTGACTTAAAAATAGGCTTTAGACTTATTAATTTGGGTGTTAATTTCTCCTTTATCTGTTTTGACCCTACTAAATTAGCATTGTACAATATCAGAGAATGTGATTAATGCCAATTATTCTGTTTGTAGCATGAGGCCAATTTCATGGTTTCAAAATGCTTCTAAGCCTCTAATATTTTGTTAATTCTCTTTATTGACTATAATAAAAAGATGATCAGTCCTTTTAAAATTGGAATTCCCTAGTAATGAAAAATAATACACATTTTCAGGTTAGCCGAATTTAAATTGCACTTGGGAAATGCAGGCAGGAAGGTCAGGAATTCAAGGTTATTCTCTGCTAAATTCCGAGTTTCAGGCTATCTGAGGCTACATGAGACTCTATCTCAGAAAACAAAACAAAATAAAAAAATAAGGGTCTGAGAGGTGGCTCAGTGATGAAGAGCACTTGTTGCTTATCCAGAGGACCCAGGTTTGATTTCTAGCATCTACATTTTGGCTCACAGCCACCCATAACCTCAGTTTGAGGGGATCAAACAGGCATACATGTGGTATATACACATGTGTGCAGGCAGAAACATATACATGAAAGTAAATAAATATAAAAAAAACATTAGAAAAAACCCAAAACACAATTAAAAGAATTTAGATTAACAATGATATAGGGTGGGACAGAAGAAGAGAATTCTAAAATCTCATGAAACTGAAAGTAAAATGAGTATTTATTTATTTGTGGTTTGAGACAGCTGGCCTTGAACTCATGATAGTTTTCCCTCTATGTCTCTGAAATTCTGGGATTACAGAATTTCAAGTACCAAGACAGCCAGGGATACACAAAGAAACCCTGTTTTAAAAAACAAAACAAAAAATAAAAAACAAAATCTTCTTGGGTATAAATGACTCTCCCCCCCCTCCCAAACACATACACACACACTCACAGGGTTTCACTGTGTGCCTTTGACTGTCCTGTAACTCACTATGTAGTCCAGAGT